GAGGCAAACTGTGGTTAATGTGCTCCTTTTCTCCTGGGCTTTTTCTGGATAGAGCGACATGACATGACAAAGTTCCAGGAAAATGCTGCGTCAAGGGTAGAGCTGGGCGGGGGTAGGGGTGGGGATGGGAGGAGCTGGGGAGATGGCTCAGAGGTTAAGAGGCTGCTCTTCCACAGGTCCCACCACGTGGTTCCCAGCAGCCACACGGTGGCTCACACCATCTATAATGAGATCTGGTGCCCTCTGCTGGCCTGCAGGCAGAACACTGTACATATATAATAAATAAATCTTTATATATATAAGAATAGAGATGGGCAGTGGTGATACACCTTTAATCGAAGCACTCAGGAGGCAGAGGCAGCAGATCTCTGTCAGTCAAGACCAACGTGGTCTAAGATGGAGTTCCGGGACAGCTAGGCCTACAAAGAGAAACCATATCTCCAAAAAGAAAAAAAGAAAGGGAGATGAAGGAAGAGGTCCCTGGGTGACTCAGAAACTACTTCAAAGAAAAATCTCAACCTTGGTGGGCCCCAGCAGGAACAATAGGGTTAGCATGGAACCTGGAGGACTGGAAGAGAAGCAGGCGGCCTGCCTGCCCTGCTCCTTGCTGTAAGAAAGACCTGTGAAGGGACACAAGAACCTATACCCTCTGCCTCCCTGGGTAGCTCTTTCCCTCACCATAGTTGGCCATGAACGGGAAAGTGGCCAGAAAAGCATGAATCTTGTGGAGTAGCCTATGTTTTAAAAGAGATTTTATTGACCCAATAGTGACATTCCACTGAGGATCAATGGCTGAGAAAGTAAAATATTACAAGATCAGGAATTCTCTGAGATAGACTCACAGGTATAAAATATAGAGCACAGAGAGTAAAAATACTGTGTTGAACATATCTCTATCCTGCATGCATGACTATCCTCCTAGCAGAACAACCTCCATCTTTGGAAGTTTGTCTATTCCTACTTGCAAAAGATCATCCCAGCTGGGCCTGTTGACCTTGTCTAGTCACTCCAGAGTACCTGCTGTTTGGAACTCTGGCTTAAGTGCACGTGGCCTCTGGAAGGGGCTAGAATACGTAGGCCAGGGAAGGTTGGTATGGGGGAGAGCCATCGTCCCTGCTGAGGAAAGGCTTTCCAGTGGGGCCTTTTGGCGGGGAGTACCCACACCCTTCACCTACTTGATAAGTCAGCTCAGGAGCCTCACTGGCTCCCAGAGTGAGCACTAGTGGAACCATACCTCGGTCTGTCGTTGGGATCAGAGCAAGAGGAGGCACTGGTTTCCGTCTTCCCCTGAGAAGAACCACCAGGCTCTCCGTCTCGCTCCAGGAGCTGCTCAGAATTCAATTTTGAGAACATAAGGTTAGTTGCTTCCTATTGTCCTAAGTTAATTTCTTTCTCCTTTGGGATTTTTTCTCTGTTGATTAGGCAATAAGCGAAGCTGTGACAATGGCTCCCGGAAGCCACACCTGTTGACAGGAGGCTGCCACAGTGCTGCCAGGTGAAGCAGGCATACAAGCTCCTAGTTCTTAACTTCATGTGCCTATTTTTCATAAGGTCTCTGCCATTTGTTAATTTCCTCTGAGATATTAGTGAGAAGAAATACTTTGGGGTGATGGTGACTTTGGGGACACTGTAGTGTGAGCCCATCTTCACAAGAAGGTGCCAAGTAGACAACGCTGGAGTTGCATGTAGCAGGCTCTAAGCAACATGCATGGAGCCTGGGGACATAGCCTGACAGCCTAACCCTCGCCCAGATCCCAGAACATCCCACCATGAACCCACGGGGATGCACTGACTGTGGACATGGTCCTCTCTGTCTGCCTATTCCCGCTTACACATGGCCTCGGAGGGTCCTGCATGCCCAGCGCAGAGCAGGAGAAGATGAGGGGCCCACAGCCATCCACAAGCCAGGCGTGGTGCCACTCTCTGGATGCCCAGTCTTTGCTCATTTGGCCTGGCCCTCAGACACGCAAGAGACGGTCTGGGCATGTTTGTGTCGGTATGCACAGGGGCACGCGCGTTCATTAGTGAGCACCAGCCCTTCTGTATGCAGAAGTGCCCACATTCTGTGGCGTGGCTCGCATGTCCCGGTGTGAGTGCATGTATCAAGGCTTCTTCCTTCAGGCGGCAGGTTGCTAGTTAGTAGAGTGTCGGCCACCAGCACTTTGAAAGTTATGACAGATCTTTCGGCTGGTTAAATTGTTAAGTGATTGCCTAGCTGAGTTTTTATCCAAAGGCTCCGCTGTGTAGTTTCTTCACATCGCTTGGAACAGAACAGCCTTCTAAAGCAATGCACCAAAACCCAGGTATCAGTGTCCACTGAATCCATAATAAAATGTGGCTTATTTGGCAGTTTCTCTGCCCAAGTTCATGTCATGTCCTAGCTCCTTAACACTAAACCCCAGCCTTAAGGGCAATGCGCTTCTCCTGCTGAACAAATAATGCATTGTAAATAATACTTTGCACATAAAAACACTAAGAGGTGTTTATGTCTAATTTGGAAGAAAGGCCAAGAAGTGACTTATTTTCCAGGAAACACAAAGCACCAACTTTGAACAACTGCTTAAAGCTTCAGGAAAGAATGGGCATGAATGGAAGCTGCTGTGAGTTGGAGTTCAGAGTGGGGTGGTAACAGCCTCAAGGTCCTTTCTCTGAGCCAGATTCCCTGAGAGCTGATGTTTATAGGAAACTGACTTTTACAACAGTGGGATTACTCTTCTCCAGTAAGCCTTGAAAGTGAAGCTTTGCTGGCCCACATCTCACACCCACCTCAGAAAAGTGGAGCTATCAATATTTATGGACTTGGGCGATAGAAACACCAAATCCTGAGACACTGGGCTTGTGGAAGAGGCCTATTTGCCCAGGGCTAGAGGAACGCCTCCACCTCTCACACCCAGGTTCCCTTGTTCCCCTGGTCAGACAATAGTCACAAATGTCACAATGCTCTAGTCTCCAGCTTTGCCCACCCCAGTCCTCTCTGCAAAATTTTTGTTTCAAGAAAAATCTGAAATGTAGAAATAGACAATTTGAAAGACTCATGAGGCATCTAACATTTTGAGCTATTCGGAATGTACAAGACTAAATCCCTCAAGAAAAACACAAAGATCCAATGAAGACTGAGTTTGTGCATCTATGGAGACTGTAGATTCACTCCACCCAGGCTCCCTGTGCTCATCCACTGATGAGGCTGTTGAGTGGGCCCAGGAGAAAGGCCTATAACCGCCCGTGAGGTCTCTGCTCTTGGTTGGAAACACATGGCAATATCGCATGCTTAGATTTGGGCAGACAGGAGAGAACAGCCTAGGCCAGTTTATACCGCCATGTGTAACACTCCTTGCTTAGGCAGTTAGCCAGCTGCTAACACGGCACACGAGAGCCGGGCTGAGAGACCAACAGCGGGAGGCTTAGGCTCTTTGCTCTCCTTGTCCCAAGAGATGAAAGGTCTGATGTAGCTAAGTACCAAGACAGCTAGCCATGAGTGATGGCTTTTCTTTGAGTGGCTTCAAGTACAGCTGTCAGGACTGAACTTGACTCTGATCAGATCCTCAAGCTTCAAAGGAAATGTCTAAGAATAGGCAAGGCCATTTCTCACTACCATGGAGTGGCCTGTGGCTGGGGTCAGACCTCAGTGCTCTTCATGGAAATGTGCCCTTGCTGAAGAGGGCAGCTAGGCAGGTCGCTACTAGGGTAGGATGTTCACAGCCACCAGGGGTACAGGGGGTTCTGGGCAGGGCGTTTGGGACTTGAGGAAAGGCCTCATCACACAGCCTGTGATTGGAAGCTGTGCCTCCTCCTTAAACATGAGGCTTCTTCACAGAAGAACCCTTTTGTGTCTGAAGACACTACCTAGGATTTCCATGACTCTTCTGCGGTGCATGATACACAGATGTTTGCAGTGAAACACCTCCTCCACATAAAAGAGGTGTACCTTTTGAGCCAGGACTCTGCTCCCAGCTGGTCTGTGGACCTCTACCTGCCTGGTCTCACTAGTCCAGGCACATGAGGTCACATCATCTTTTTCCCAACACTTAAAGCCTGTTTGGCTCCCAGACAGCCCACCGGAAGGATGGAGACATTCCAGTCATATAGAACTCATTTCACATTGTGTGTAAGTGGTTACACGCATATTGTACTCATTTAAAGGTATGTCCTTCACATTCATTAAGGCTATTTCAAGTGGTGTATTTTAAATGAAATGCTATATAGTCAAAATTACCAGATTATCGAGTTAACAGGAAAATTGTCTGCAGAAAAACTAGGACTTTGATTTTTCAAAATAGGATTAAACTGTTCATATGTATTAACCAAAAATAAAACCTACTGCTTTGCAGTAGAAACCACACAGCCAGTTTCCAAAAACTGAAATGCAGGGGTCTGGCATCAGCTCCAGGCTCAGCTGTTAGCTCAGAGACAGGTTGGGCCTGTCATCCAGCTAGCAGAAGACAGCTGCTCTAACCCAGCGTTTGTCGTCCCGATTCGCCACTCTCCCCCAGCTGCTTTGCCTGTAGACATCCTTCCATTCCAAGCGGATGAACATTCTCCGACAACATAGCAATCAATTTAATAAAGGAACTCACCAGTGTCAAATTGCAATAAATTTACCAAACATTTTCACTGTTTATGGAGAGCTTTACAGTAAGAAAGTGTCGACAGAAGCAGGCACATCCGGGTACAAAGTGTTGCTGTTGGTTGTTCTTCACTTCTGTTCCTACAGTTCCAACTGCCTTGTTCTCTCAGCCGAGGTCCTCCACGCGAAATCGGCTTTGCCAGGCGTTCTGTTCTTGCCCTCTGGACCCCGGACCCCCGACCACAGTCCCGGGGCACGGACTTGCCTAAGAGAAGTGTGAGCGGCGAACCCACCCCAAACATTTATTGTAAACTTTAAATGGAGTCCGGATACGAACGACACAGAAGGGAGACGCCTCCGCACGCAGAAAGGAGAACACTGTAGTGTCTCAGGGTCTCGAAGATCTCCTAAGGCCGGAGCAGAGAAACGCCAAGCCTCGCTTGCGCAGGCGCAACACCAGGCAAAGCCCTGCTGCTGCCCTCTCGGGTGTCCCGGGCAGGTCGGGCCTGGGCTCAGCAGGCCCGGCTGGGCTCCCAAGGGTGCGCCATCTCACAGGGCGGCCGGCAGCAGTAGGGGTAGGAGGCGTTGAGGTCGGGGTCCGAGGGCGCGTACCCGGGCAGCTCCACCGACGGGTGCCCGCCGCAGCACACCTCCACGCCCGCCTCGTCAAACGCGTGGAAGACGCCCACGTTGATGTAGGACACGGCGTGGTGCGCCGCGAAGCTCGCGCAGTCTCCCGGGGCGGTGAAGTCCGACTCCTCCGGGGACAGGATGGAGGCCTCGCTGGGCCGCGGCTGCAGCCGCCGCCCCCTTTTGCCCCGGCGGCCGCGCCGGCTCCGGGCGGCCAGCGGCTGAGCGCGGAGCCCGGGTCCGCCTCGCGGTCGCGCCAAGGAGCGGCTGGCCCTCCGCCGGCCGCGCCGGCCTCGCCGGGCCTGCGACGACTTGTAGTTCTTGACCAGCAGGAGGCTGAGCAGGCCCAGCAGGCACTCGAGCGAGTTGAACACAGTGGAGAGCACCAGGCCGCGCTGGTAGTCCTTCAGCTGGCGGCATTTGGCGGTCGTGGCGCTGTCCAGGGTGCTGCGGACGCGCTGCGAGCCGGAGGCCGGGGCCGCGGAGCCCGGGGCCGAGCCGGGGCCAGCGGCCGGCGTGCGCGGGGGCAGGCAGTAGTGGGAGTACTTGCGCTCCACCAGGGACACCGTGTCGCCGTCGATCACCGCTCCCGCAAAGGCGCTGAGGACGCCGAGCATGAAGACCAGGACGCCCAGGAGCAGCAGGTTCTGGCTGTTGACCGGCCCCGGGGGCCCGGCGGCCGCACGCGTCTCTCCGGGGGAGGGCGCCGGTGCGCCCGCTGGGGACGCGGGGACCCCGAGTCCCGGGCCCGGCCCGGCCCCCGAGCCCGCGAGGGGCGCCTCCCGGGGCCCGCAGCACAGCAGGGCGGCGCCGAGCAGGGAGAGGCCGGCGGCCAGCAGCAGCCCCGAGTAGAAGGCGCCGGCGGCCGCCCCCAGCCGGAACGGCTCCCCGCGCAGCTCGGAGCCCAGCGAGAAGCACTTGAGGCCGACGGCGGCGGCGCTGAGCGCGCAGGCGAGCAGAAGGCAGGAGGAGAGCGCGGCGCAGGCCCC